TATCCCCCCGTGTCCCTTATTCTTTATGCGTTGCATGTCAATTTAATATCGTAACATACAAGATCCATATGTTAACGCTCTCCAATGAAAATATTAGGCCATGTTGCAGTTTGAGATCCCACAATTTCAGACGAAGTTGTTTTTCGTTTTTCGTTGTCAGTTCATTGTTTCATGGACGTCCTTTCACATTGAGTTGCCATCATAATATTAACTGATTGAAAAGAATTTTACTTTACGTACCACTAGGTAAAAACACGTTATTCCTTTTAAGATATTAGGACAATGCTATAGAAATTTTGGTATAAGAAAATTAGTTTAATTGGCTGAACTATAGATGCTTTTAAACGACAGTATTAATAAAGGAAACAAAGAAGAAAAGAGTAAAGGACCTTTCGAAACAAGTCATTTAAATTTTAGTTCTGCGTTATTTTCACTTGGGTGTGCTGGAGTGCAGCTACATTTGTTGTGCAGTTGTGTCCTCCAGATCTGCATGTTCGAACTACCCAAGAAAAGAATTAGAATTTTTTGTTGCATATCCATGTTCGCTTACATGTCAGGATTTGGTCTGAATTTACATTAAAAACTGAACAGTTGGTAGAGTTTCATCTTAAAATGCTGTTTCATTGACTGTTTAAATCCGCAATATTTAATTACCTATAAATAAATCAGTCGAATAAATCTAAAATCTTCCACGTCCATATTGTTACACGTCATGATTCTCAGATCGAATTAACGCTGCTTCTGACAGACATTAGCTTTTACGTAACAAAGGGCTCGTAGGATAAAATTAATGTACATGAATATTAAACTTGAAGTAATAATTAGGGGAATTGTGGTTTTACCAGCTCGCCAAGTGAAACAAAACAATTTATGTTGATTTATTAAACGATTCAAACATATATATGGTAATTTAAAAAAAAAAATTGGTAATTTTGTATGTTATAACAGAACATATTGAATAGAAATTGCACGATTTCCGAAAATTATTTCCAATTCATTACATTTAAACCTTATAATATCAAAATTAATATTATTCAGTAATTCAGACTAATTTTAATTATTACATTAATTTCAAAAGTACCCTGTTTTTTATATAATAGCAGTAGTATTCTTATTCACTGCGTTGTTTGAAGCTGATGAACTATTTCTTTCAAAGAGCAAATGAAAACATTCTTTCTTACGTACCTGAGAGCATTTCGACATCCTTGCGACAACATTAAAAAGCTCATCAATTTAGTTCTATACACCAACTTTCCTTAGCTTATAATCTGTGGGATCATTTATGTGTGGCTTACAAAGCAATCACCTCGCTCTTTTTATATGGCTTCTGAATATATATTTATAAATAGAAGTCAAATTGTAATTGGTTAAAAATGATAAAATGTTATTTATATAAATTACACTTCACTTGAAATACATTTTGGAAAAAAACTCTCGTTATTTTAATTACACGAACAACATTAATACGAACGAAATTTATAATTCAGATTTAAGGGGAGAATAATTTTTTTAGAAGAACACACACGGTTCTGATATTCTATAATTTGAAAATAAATAAATTACTCCTACTTATTAACTCAGTTTTTTTTAATTTTCTTCAGTATCCTTAGCGTTTTGTCTGTTATAAGCTTTCTCCTGTGCTTCATAGCATGTTTCGTTCATTTTCAAAAATAATTTAATTCAATCTTCGATACTGCTATAACTGAATCTGCTTACTGCACTAAGATAACACATTACACAATCAAAACACGCTGTATTTTTTAAAATTGCATCGCTTTATGTCGTAAATACAGAAGGGCCCAAAAATTGTGTATAAAATTTAATAGAGCTTATGTACGGATATTTTCAAACTTGAGCCAAAATATAATATATGTTGTGTAGTGGTATATTCTCTCAAATGATGACATTAGCCTCATGAATGCCAGAGCCATCTTATCGAATGGCATGATGGTCAAAGAAAATGGCGGTGGAATGGTATATATACATTTTTTGGGCCCCTTTGTATATGAGTGATTCTAGACACAGCAGGTGCTTGAAATGTAAAAAAATGAATTTACCAATAGACTGACTCAAAAGCATGTAATATTCCCACGGCCCCCAGGTTACCTAATCTATGTCAGTATTCTTCTTACTATTTTCCTCTGTAGCATGATTTACGTGTAACATGTCTCATTATTCGTGGTACTTATTCTGTATGTATGTACAACAATATATGTCATGTCTGTTGTGATTGTGATCTGTTAATTGAACTTACATTAGCTGCGTGTCTGCTTCCCCGCACTCTCTTTTCGTATGTGTATGTTGTGAGATTAATCTCGTTACCCATAATTAGTTACATATTCCTTGAACAATGTTTCACATAATTGCGCATCCTGTTTTAGTGCATGGTATCCTTTGTAAGGATAACAGAAAGATGCAGTTTCATGTTCCATCATTGAATCATGAAATTGATTTCTCATTAAAATCATGTATCAAAAACATTTTAATATGTTAGCTATATTAAAATGCTTCTTAATATTACTATTGTATTTATATAAAATATATGAATACTGTTAACATGGTTTTGTTTACTGCAACAGAAATCTTGAAAGAAAAACCAGTAACATTAGGATATCGGTGATTTTCATATCAGAATTGATAATTTTATTATTATCAAGTGCTTAATAAATGCACTAAACTGTGAAAAATTAATATACTGTAACGTTAATCATAACATAATGTAGGTTTTAATAAAGTTAAATACGAGATTTGCTGGATGGAAGCCCAAAGGCATAATATTCTGTTTATTAATATCTAAATTTATCTTATGTTTTCCTCTGTATTTTTTGCTCTACTTCAGAATAAAAAAAATAGGAAATGTGTGCACAATGTTCAAATTCTGGATCATTCCCTGGTGATCTCATAAACCGCAAGACTTAGGGAAAAGTAAATTGGCATGAAATGTGTGCTTCATTTCTCTGCAATATTTGTTCGATACATCCTTCGCTCCGACAAAATGTATCGATCGTAACTCGATAAACGTTTTAATATTCGGCGAATTTCCCCTCAAGATGCTTGCAGAAAGACATGTAGGTCTTCATGGAAATTGCCCGTTATTGGTGTACAGCTTTAGCCATAATTGAATTGTGACGACGAATTTAAGTAAACTCCCCCGTGTAAAGTTTCATTAAAATCTACGCAGCAGTTTTCAAGTTGTTACAAGCGTACATACAGGCAGACATGGCGAAGCTAAAAGACGAACTTTTTCATATTTTCGTCGTCAAATAATTAAAATCTGATGTCCATGGTAGGAGTGGTTACCATAGTGAATGTCAGGGTTCCGGATAAACTTGAGCTTCCAACATCGATCTTCCAGGTGTTTAAATCATGCAGCTGCAAAATAAACTTGGTACCCGCCTCTGTGGTCTAGTGGTCACAGTTCCTGCCTACAGATCCAGAGCTCCCGGGTTCGATTCCCGGCGCTACCGTATTTTCTAAGAAGTAGTGTGTCTGGAACGAGGTCCAATCAGCCTCCTGAAGATAACTGAGGAGCTATTTTAAGGAAATAGCGACTCCGGTCTAGAGAACCGAGATTAACGGCCGTGGGGATTCGTTGCGCTGACCACGCGACACTCTCTATCCGCTAAAGTTGGCACTAACTTCGCCTGCGGTCGCTCGGTCGGTATGGTTCGCTTGCGGACTGCAGGCCACGGAGTTTGATTTTTGTTTATGAATTTGCTATAAACACATGAAGTTTAATGCGTAAGCAGTCTCGCTTTCATTGCGCGCAGTAGCGCTCTGGTTGTGTAGTTAACGCGCCACATCCGTTGAAATATGCAGCTGGGAAATAGAGATAAGGAAAATTGTAAACGTCAAACTTTATTGAAATTTTGTGGTAGAATAATGAGCAAGCGAAACTGCATAGTTTAAGATGAATTATAATTTTATTCAGTATTCCACTTGCATCTTACATTCAAATAAATTCTAATAAAAAACTAAAACGTATTTTTTTGCATATCCTTTCTAAACAGAAAAAAAGGTTCGGAAAAATATTTTGTAAAATTGTTATTATTTGATAACTAAAATTTCATACAAAGAACCATACAAATTTCCTAATTTGTTTCTCTTTAGCACACAAAACTGGTTTAAGTAGTGCACATTCCAACATAGTCTACCTCCTCCAATCTTGCAGAGTACTTGAGTTGTCCTTCCATTATGCAGATCGTATTTTAACAAACTAAAGGCCGCGACATAGCTCAAGCGGTTAGTCGCTGGCTTCCCATCGCGGCGGCCCGGGTTCGATCCCGGGTCTGGTCAAGTGGGATTTGTGGTGGACAAAGTGGCGCTGGGGAAGGTTTTCTCCGAGTACTTCGGTTTCCCCTGCCAATCTTCATTCCACCAACTGTTCCACAATCACCCCCACCTATCATCTGGGGCTGGTAAAATAGGCCAGAATTGGCCGCAGTACAAGGGACTTAGTCCCACCCCACTAGCAATAAAAAAATAACAAACTAATATATAAAATTCCAGATGTGTAGAAAGGCACATTGTTATTAATTCTGACGCTAGAAATTTTCTGAATGGTATGACTGTAGGCCCCGATACTGTCATGATATGGTTACCATTTTATTAAGTCTATGAATGTGATATAATATGTGTGAACATATTCTTTCAGTCATTTGGATTTTGTTTCAAAACAACTACAGTGAATTTAAAATTTCATAGTAAGATATATTCTATACTTAGCGGATAACATGTTTATTAAATAAAAATCTATTTCTGCACAATAAGATTTTCATGCTTAAAATTTATTTGTATTAACTTCAGGACCGATTTAATATTTTATAAATTACTAATCAATTTTTTTCTAATTATATAATTAGAGGCTTGTAATTTGTTTAAATAAAACATAGAAATATCGTTTTTTCTGAATGGTAAGATATACTAACCACCAGGAAAATGGTTAATTTCTATGTGTATAAATAATTAGATTTTATGAATGATGTGATGTGTTTCCGCAGCCCCTCACAGCCCAAGGAAGCAGAAGTTAAATCTTCGCATGAAAAGTTTGTCACTAGATTCCCCCGAGTCAACAGAACATGTGCAGAGGCGTCGCCATGCAGCGCAGGCGCAGTCAACTTGTGTCGACCTGCAGAGCAGCCAGTCCTCATCGTCTCGTATCCAGTGTAACACTTCTTAGCATTATGCTTGTCGTCACTCACCAGAGTTTCCCGTACACGAAACCTCCACTTCCAGTAATGCAATAGCATTCTCCCTAAAGGCTCACTGCAGTGATAACATCCCTTCTGTATTCGCGACGTATCTGATTCAAAAGTGCGCCTCAGCCACTCTGTGAGAAATGTGAGATAGTATATTCTGTCCAAAACATCTCTGAGCCTGCGTCATCATCGTTAGGAAGTTACTAGAGTCTATTTGCAACTTAGAAAGGGAACCAGGAGTTACTAAATTCTATTCGCAACTTACGAAGGGAACCAGGAGTTACTAGATTCTATTTGCAACTTACGAAGGGAACCAAGAAGTTACTAGATTCTATTTACAACTTTCGAAGGAAACAAGAAGTTACTAGATGCTATTTGCAACTTACGAAGGGAACCAGGAGTTACTAGATTCTATTTGCAACTTACGAAGGGAACCAGGAAGTTACTAGATTCTATTTGCAGCTTACGAGGGAACCAGGAAGTTACTAGATTCTACAAACTTACGAAGGGAACCAGGAGTTACTAGATTCTATTTGTAACTGACGAAGGAAACCAGGAAGTTACTAGATTCTATTTGCAACTTACGAAGGGAACCAAGAAGTTACTAGATTAGGAAGTTAGTAGATTCTATTTACAACTTACGAAGGGAACCAGGAGTTACTAGATTCTATTTGTAACTTACGAAGGGAACCAGAAGTTACTAGATTCTGTTTGCAACTTACGAAGGGAACCAGGAAGTTACTAGATTCTACAAACTTACGAAGGGAATCAGGAGTTACTAAATTCTATTTGCAACTTACGAAGGGAACCAGGAAGTTACTAGATTCTATTTACAACTTACGAAAGGAACCAAAACCGGCTTTCCGAATATCTCATTTAACAAACAGGACTCTTCTACTGTAAATTTGCCCGCTGAAGGTTCGACGTGCCGTGGAATATGTATCAAACAGACAGTATCTTCAAGAACTCTATGAGAAATAAAGAAACTAAAACAGGAATCATATCTGTGGAGCATATATGAAATTCAGCATTCAGTACATGCCTGTCTCTTACCGTACATTGAATGGTGGATAGTATTGTTTCCACCTCAGAAGTTCACATAATTGTCAAACTAGAATCTTTAATAACAGACCTAGAAATTACTAAAATTGGAAGGTCTCCAGTGGCATGGGTTTCGTTCATAGTTTCACAGAAATACGGACATGTGAAACTCGTTAATAACTTTCAAGACTCAGAAGTGAAAATGAACTGGACAAAAATGTGGTACGGGAAGCTTTGGATTTTATGTTTCAATGTATTTTCTTTCCATAAGGTGCTATCTTCTGGCCTCGTGCACACATTTTTTCCACTTATGCTACTGTTTTTCATTGTTTCGTGACTCGTACCGACACATTGTATTTTTCTTACTTCTGCAAGCATTGCATTTCAGATCATGTGTGTGATGTGTCTCTCATCGTTGCATTCATGCTGTAATATTCTGGCAATGCGAGATATTTAGATCCGATATCTCGAAGTAAATAATTGACGGGGCCTTTCAATAAATGATCCAAAAACAGCCTGAATCGAAAATTGTGGTCTTGTGGATTGTAACACCGAATAGTTTGGAGAGATGCCGACGTTTCGAAGGACATATTGTCTCCATATTCACGGTCAAAGGGTAAACTAAGCAAAATACCAGTAAAAGTAAGCGGGAAGCATCTTACTGGTTTCTTGTTTGGCTTACTCTCGACGCTATAAAAGATATATGTTCTATTGAAGTCAGTGAGTGTCTACCGGACAACGGAGTGTCACATCTCAGAAGCCAATACTCTCTATAATCACTTCTATAAATCTATCCCTGTAACAGGCCGTGGAGGCCCATAGGTTTGTGAGATGTCGAGACTCCCATATTTTCTAGGCAACTGGCTCACTGATGGCGGTGAAGTTGTCAGCTTTACGAGACAACCGCCCCTTACCCCCAGGAAGATTCCTGGTACTCATTTCTGTTAGAGGCTGAGTCAACACTAGAGCCATAGTGCGGCTGGAAGGATTAGGTAAATTTGAAAAATCCAGTGACCTTATCGGGAATCAAACCCACGATCTACCGGCTTGTAGCATAGTGCCTCAACCAACTATGCTACAGCATGCCCTAGTCACTTTTGTGAGCACCTAAAATCCAAAATATGTCTCTTTGATCGTAAAGAAATTTCCGATGTTTGCTACATTTACCTAGCTAGTCAATGACAAAAGAATGTTTAAATATAACTCAAAATTAATCTTAAAAAACGTAGGGAAAGTAAAATAAATTTAATAATCTAACCCCTGTTTGTCACACACTGTAAAAGCTTTCCTTGTGTAGTCCTGTAATTGTAGGTCTTAACGAGTTTGAGCCTTTTCTTTGAGTTTACATTCAGTGTAAATGTCTCAGAGCGTGATGAAGATTCATCCATTTTGTATCATCCCGAAAGAAGAAAAAGTCTTGTGGGATGTGGCACCGTGTAGATATTGTGTTAACCGACGTTTCGGAGGAACGTTAGGCCCACTCTGTTTCCACGCTCACGGATTTTCCTCTCTTTACTTCTACCCTGAAGATGGAGGATATACGTTCCTCCGAAACGTCGATTAACACCACATCTACACGGTGCCACATCCCAGAAGACTGCTTTCTTCAAATTTATAAAATGTTCACTATAAGATTTCTGTTTACGAAACGCATACAATGAACGAATTATTGGGAGGTCTCATGTCCGCATATTTCTTTGCCAAAGACAACATCTTGGGTGTAATAAACGGTGACTTAACTTAAGTTTGATCTAAATATCTCACAATTGCATTTCTACACTTACCTTTTAATACTTTCTAATCGGTTCTCGTGCACTATTAGCTCTTTCTGTTTACTTTCATATTTATTTATGATATCTTCAGCATACGTTATGTTTCAGCATCACTATTTCTCAAGCGATCGTGTTTTACTGTGGTATGTTATTAAAATTTGTTACTCTTCATGCCTTTAAATCTGTTTTCTAATTACTAATTCAAATGAAACTAGTGTATCTTTCCTATTCATTTCTTTATTATTATAGTAATATATTCTTTAACCATTCCTTCAGATATTAAATCATTTATGTAACTATTTCACAGCGAAAGAAGGTGGTTACTAATATGTTGCAACTCCGCGTGCTACATTTGCAGTCTCGAAAGCGCCGTGGGTGATGTTTGTTTTTCCAGTGTAGTGCTAATTTGATAACTGGGGTTTAGTTTTCATATAACACCAACTCAAACTCCAGGTGAAATTAGTACATAACTAACTAACTCCATAGAGCTGAAGCCGTCTTGAAAAGCTGCTAATTCCTCAGCGAAATTGGACTTTCCCAACATTCTCTGGAACCAGAAGGTTCATTACCGTGTTCACAAGAGCCCTCCAGTGGTCCCTATCCTGAGCCAGATCAATCCAGTTCATACCATCTCCTGTTTTTCTGAGATCCTTCTTAATACCAGGGATAGCGTAGTGGTTATACTGACTGGATACGGGCTGGACGACTGAGGGGTCGGAGTTTGAGTCACGATAGGGTCAAGAATTTTATCTCCTCCACGTAGTCCAGACCGGCTCTGGGGGCCACCCAGCCTCCTATCCAATGGGTACCAGGGGTAAAGCGGCCGGGGCGTGAAGCTGACCACTCACCTCCAACTAGTGCCTTGGTCAAGAGAAAGTGGACCTATACATTCACTCCTCCATACGTCTTCATGGCGTAGTGTTTAATTAAATAAGCACAGGGTCAAATTTGCCTTTTACATTTACCTACTTAATAATATCTTCCCATCTATGTCTAGGTCTTTATAGTGTCTTTTTACTCTTGCCTTCTCCACCGAAACCCTATATGAATTCCTCTCATCCCCATGCATATTACATGCTCTGCTGATCCCATCCTCCTTGACGTCATCGCCATGAACACATATTATTGCAAAATATCGAAATATTCATGCATTACAAGTATTGTGTTTTTGGACATTATCCATCATCCTGTCTCATCATCATCGTCATCATCAGTAATCTGTCAAGACGACAGGTCCACAGTCTCTTCCAAAACATTTCCTCCACTTAATGCGATCTAGAGCTTTCTCCTTCAAATGACAGTATCCTCTTCTGTCCCCAAGGTCATCCAGCATCTTCTTACGTCTTCTTCCTCGTCTTCTTGTCACTTCTATCCGCCCATCTATCTTTCCTTCGATAACTTCTTTTAGAAGGCAGTTTCTGCGTAAAACATGACCAATCCAATTA